CAAATCCATTTAAATGTTAAATCTCCGAACATTATTACCCTTAACTAGCTTGTCAAATTTTCAGCAAGCATGCTCTTATTTCCACTAAAGAGCAAAGATGAAGGAGGTGTGACAATAATTTGAGTTCAACTCATACTTTTGGCATCACTCTACTGGTCGGTCCATTTGGTGGCTAAATTTCTAAATATGCATTTTTGCATGCAATATGGCATTTTGCTAATAATTGTTGAGGATTAATTAATTTCCTGATGTTTTTAAGTTAAATTGGCTGCTGGTTTAAATTTGAAATCTCCAACATTCTCCCAGGAGTGCTCTCCCTGGAGATTGGAGTACCATAACCATACACATTATTATCTCCCCCTGCTGGCTGTTGAAGGTTCACTAATTTACCTTCTAACACGACAGTCTTATAATGGTGCAGAACTTCTAAAGTCTACATGGTAAACTCTCAGAAGTACAGTAGGTGAAAAAAATCACGTTGTATGAGACTGTGTCGAAGGTCATTCAAACTAAATCAACATTTTAGGGCCTGCAAACCTTTTGTATGTTTTGTGTAAAAGTATTAAGAACATCATGGTTGTTCCTTTTTATATCTCAATTTCAAATCAAGTCCTCAAACTTGCTCTTTATCTTTTTCAAATATTTTATAAAAAACAGTTTTAGCTTTTTGGTTGAGTGAACCTGCATGATCTGTCTCAGCGCCAAACTCCTTTACATTACAGTAACATGTACGTGGTTATATTGGCATCTGAACAACACTCTTCACTCTTAACCCCATCTGAGTTGACTGGAGGTTTAAGCCTCGGTCTGTTGTTGAAGGCAAGTGCAATTTTCAGTTTCCACGATTAGTTGACATGAGGCTTACTCCCTTCCTCAAGTTCAAGAAACAATATAAAATGGCAGAGGACCACAAATATGTCTGCCAGTGACGGTATCTTCAGGTCTGAAAGCAGTTGCTCAATAAACACACTAGATGGCAATAATGTTCTATTGAAAACCCAATGTCTACCACTCCCTATCAGACAGAACGGCACTTGTAGCTGATGTATGACATTGTAGCCATATGTGGTAAGAACTGAGTGGTTCTTCAGATATCTTTCCGTGAATTGAATCTGTCGTGAATTTAGTACGTTGGCGGGGAATGGTTACTTGGAACTATGATTTTTAATCTCTCAGTCTTTTTCACTGTCTTTTAAAATGGATTTCCACTTGGATGCTTATTCCTCTAAGCTATAATGGTGTATGTATTCATTGTAATATGTGCTCTACTTTGAAGCTAGTTGTCTGCCAAGGTTTTTTCTTATCCCCTACCAGATGGCAATGTTTGTAGATTGGTCAACACTACTACTATGTGATATGCTAGACAAAACAATGTGTGACAATTTACAATACAGTAAATTATACACACAGAAGTGATATGGATTTTCTGACCCTGGTTTGACACCAGCTGATACATTCAGATTAGGAAATTCTGATGGAGCCACAACTGTATCCTGTGTTGATTTATGGCACACTGGAGATCCAATGTTTGTCAAAGCGATTAACAAGATCTGTGTTGGCATAGACCTGAATAACAAAAGCCAGATATCTAAGTAAACTAGATAATATACAGCAGATTTCCTCTGCCATGGTATGTGATGTCCTACAATGCAAAATAAAAAAAAATGTGTACACACAGATGATATAATGTGTTGCATATGCACACACCAAATGCAAACACAGGAGCATGGTCAAAAATACAACCAGTACTGAAATGAGCTCCACTGCAGAAAAGTTAAAATGCATTTTAGAGTGTTTTGCTTCATTATGCTACACTGGAAATTGAGTATCCATCCACGCTTGCCCTCTAACTAACCTTTCACAGCTAGTCCTCATGTCTTGTTAACACCACAGGGTCGAAGCACCGTGCCAGATGATATTCACAAGCCTTTGTAACCTCTCTCAGTGACATGCAACTCTGAGCTCAAGTCAAAGGATATTTTTTAGGGTTCAATCCCTGAAGGGGCAGAACTCTTTTGAGTTTGTGTTGGATTATTATGATTATTATGATTATTATTATTATTTCAGGGTGTACCACCCTTACGCCCAATGTCAGCTGGAATTGGCTCCAGACCCTGTACGCAGGATAAGCGGTTGACGATGGATGGATGGATTATTAGTTGTCTGCTGAATTGCCTTAAATTGCCCTGAGCTGGAATGAGCTAGAAACACCAAACTTGGTACAAATGAAAATGACATGCAAGTGCTTCCACAGAAATATGAGCCCAATCAGCCAGATGGTGGCGCTGTAATTAAGGCCCAAAAATGCAGCTTTGGCCACGCCTCTCACACTGTAAGTCTGATTGTTTTGAAATTTCTCACACAATCTAATTAAATGTGCTCTATTAAAAAGCGCCTTTGACCATTAAAGTCCACCATGATGGATTTTATGCTAATTAGCATAACGTGAAAAACAGTAAAAATTGCATCTACTTTTTGGATTTTGATTATCAACACCAAATGTGGGCAGCATTGCAGGACTGAGATACACATTTCTGTTACAAATGTGCAAGATTGGTCGAAAACATGGCCATGGCATCAACCAAAATATCTTCATAAAGGGCTTAACCATATGTATATAATTACCTGAAACATTTCCAGAAATTTCATTTAAATTGACCACTTGGGGGCGCTAAAAATTCATAAAATGGGTGTGCCAGATCACAAATTTCCTTATAATGTTGAACCACATGTTTAAACCTATTTTATCAAAATATCTGCTTGCAGCTATATTTACATGTTTGTTTTGAGGAGGGCAAATAAATGCTAACAGAACTCTCGAAGCATGGCATTACCATTATCTTTAATGAACTGCTTTGCAGGAAAAATACACATTAAAAAGGTTCATGCTTGGCTTATAAGCATGTTATAACAAGCTGATGTTATATATCAACTTGTTAGGTGTATTTGCAACAGCCTATAGGTTAACTGTGATAGCTTAGTCTTTGAGTGTATCTGTTGATATCATGGTCAATCTGCTTGAATCTTTGTCTTCAAAACTTATTAAACTTACTCTTTTGCCAACATACATGCTAATTCAATATACATTATCTGTCATAACCCAATACTGGCTGATAATTTCAGCAGTGTTTCAATGTCCAAATAGTACCTTTCTATTATGAAGATTTCCTATGGAAATGTTATTGCATCATAAAGAGTGTTGCAGGCTGATTTCCACCTTTCCACCTGCAAGCTCTTTAAGGACTGTAAACAAAGTCAGTGCAGAAATATATTACTTCACAGCACACCCTGCATTTCTCACATCTTGCATTACAAGTAGTGATAGCAGTTAGTATCAGTGAATATTAATTCTAAATGAATAATGTATCCCTGCCTGATCCTTTTCATGTCTATGGTAGTGAGATTACCCAAAAAGACAATTTGCTTACAGCACAGTATATTTCCACTTTCCATTTAAGTCTGCATTCATTTTCAGCAGCTATGATACACTGTTTTCCTCCTCAGGGTGTTGTGGGTATGCTTGCTTACATCTGTGTGTTTTTGTCAGTGTGATAACAATTGCAAGCTGTGCAGATGACAAAAGTCTTGGCAAGATTAAAGACAATACTGTTGAAGATTTTTCATCTGCAGCAGATGCTATCCATATTGACAGACACAACTCTCTCATGCATATCGCATTAATAAATATCAGTCTAAAAGCCATTCCCTACTTAAATGACAGATTTTAATAGGTGCAGTCGCTCCTGTTATGACTTAAAGAAAGACAACTAATTTTACTTCAGCATGGTTGAATGGGCAAACCTGAGCTATTAAAAGGGTTTAGGAAAGCCAATGAAAATGTCACTATGGTAATGTTTGATTGATGTTTGAAATTGGAAGGGCCTGATGATAGACACCAATATTGTTGTTAAGGATACTGTTGTATACTAAACACAGACTACAAAACCATTCATTGAGTTGCAAGTGATATAATAAGTAATGTTAACCACTTCATTGTGGTCAGAGGAGTACATTTTTAGTTTATTTTTTATCGCATGAAGCTCTTTCACTAGGAGAAACCAATCCATCCATCCAGCCATCGATCTTTACGCTGCTTATCTAAGCCATGGTGATGCTTGGATGAGCTGAGTTTACAAGGCATGTTTTACCCAAACACCTTCCTCAGGTTCTTCTCCTCATCGGTGGCCATGCTCCATCAGAGCCACAGCTAGAAATTCTGAGCCCCCTGACAACAGCTAAAGAGAAGCTTTAACACACAGAATATCAATATGCATAAAATCATTCAGGGCCCCTGTCCAGCTCTGGGTCCCCTGAATAATTCAAGTCTCCCACCACCAAATAGTGTCTCTGTGGTCTGTACACCTCCAAATAGAGGTGACTCTGGCTTCGTACCGACGTCTGCTATTATTGATGACCCCCTCATCCTATAGCGCTATTGAAAGCATGTTGGTGAAGGTCAGAAAGAAGATCAGATAGGAAATAAAGATCATTACGTTGTGCTTCTTCATTATCTTTAAATACAGTGTTCTTATTACTGTAGCTAACGTTCCTAACTTGCAGACAAACTATGAAACCTTCTTAGCCTTCTCATAATTTGATAGTTGCTGACCTGGATGGGACAGGTAATCTTTATCTGGGAGAGAACCACTGCCTAACATTTGGGGGTAATGACTACTTTCTGCTTCAAAATATTCAAGTTCACAATAAGACAGATGGTTAACATTAGAAGGATGACATCATCTGCAAAATAGAAACACAGCATTATTTCTTCCCAGAAGTGAGGATGTGATTTTCTAACTTTCATAATTTCCTGAATTTTACAAACAGGAGATAGGACATGACCTATCTGTTGGTAATCTCAGATTGCTAAACTCCTGCAGTACCTTAGGGGACATGGTCATTAGCCTTTCCAAATCCTTTAAATACATGTAGACAGCATTTGCATATTCCCATAAGCCCACTATTATCTTCATGAGGGTAGACAGCATGTCCACGTTCCATAAGAAAGGCAGAAATGTGAAGTTTAATAATTCCTTTCCCAAGTGCTTACAGATAATACAATCATGACTGATTATTTATTTACTTGTCTGTCTGCTTGTTTTGTTTCTCTGCTGTATGCTAGCATTGTGTGGCACTGGTTGGTTTTCCAAATGAATTTGATGCAGTTGATGTCCTATGGCTCAGTGAGCTAAATTCCATCTGGATACTTTCAAAACAACAAGATTTGTGGAATGAACAATACCAACATTGTTTTTTTAGTTGACATCCTCTGCATGTCCTCTTAAACATCCTGCAAATCCCAATTAAGATTATTATTGCCATTACATAATAATGTTAAAGAAACATTTCCTTGTTTATAATCATCTTGTGAAACAAAATTAGCAGTGACACTCACTTAGCAAGCTCTGACACTTACCTTGCAGCCGTTTTCAGTTTTTATTTTCAAATGCAGTCCATTTATGGTTGTGTTCAGTACCTTAGAGCAAACAGCAAAACAAAAATCTGCATTTCATTTCCATTTACTGGCTTTAGGTAGCAACGGACTTGAGAAACAAAATTGTTGCATATTACATCTACTGAGGTCTTGATATGTATAGTCTGTCTGTGGTAATTGAATGCAGCCATGTCTGCCACTGCACACAGCATGACAGCACTTCTTTCTGTGAATTCTGCTTGTCTTCATGCAAAGTGCAAAGGTGAGTAACATCCTCACCTCAAAATAGATGTTGCTTTGTGAAAATCATCTAAACTCGCTGCCAACAGAACTGTAGTTTATTGCTCATTATTGAATGTCTTGACTTATGACTCATAACATCCTATAAAAGAAAATTCCTCCCTGGCTACTGTCAGGTGCAAATGTTCAAGGATGTTAGGACGAAAGTGCAAGCATCTCTGTCTTTGTATCGTACCAAGGGCAGGATCTGATTTAAAGATATGAAGGATGTGCCTATCATCTGAAGGAGAGAATGTTGTATTATACTACCTGCACATCCCTTGAGAAGCATAATAATCTTTAAAAGCAGAGAAAATCCCATTACCTGTCACAGATTTCTTCCCTCATAATTGCTGGAGCCTCCCCTTTGGGAGGGTGGGGGTGAAGGACGCCAGACACACTGATATCAGACAATCTTCAGGAAAAATCTAGGGGACATCTATTTTCGTCTTGTCATTCCCATAGCAAGGTTTGGCCTTTCTTAACCTTTGAAGATGAGATTCGACATAAAAGATTCCTGCAATGAAACCCCTGTATCATCATTTGACACTGAAGACCTACAAACATTCAAGCATGTAACAGCTACCACATTTGCATATGTAAACTAGTGTTAGACTGAAATATTGTTTTGTTATAATCTTTGTTTTTGATTTAGAATTTAGCATTGGCCATTTGCTGCCATACATCACCAATGTGTGCATTTTAATTCCCTGGACTAAGGAAGTGATGTTTACAGTGTTGTTTGTTTTTTGTGTGTATTATTTAGTACTCATTCAACAACTTGTTGAAAAGTCATCTATCCATTCTTTCTTATGTGGGTCCAGGTAATGCTGGGAGCAGGTACAACAAAGTAAACGCCTTCCAGGGGACTTCTGAGCATTCCCAGGCCAGTAGAGATACTTTATGTCTCCTAATTCTAATTTCCCAAGGTATTTGAGGTACCTGTATAGGGAGGCCTCAAGAAAGCATTCTGATCAAATGCCTGAACTTCCTGAATGGCTTAATGTCAAGGCGCAGTGGTTCTACACCAAACTCCTTCTGGATGCCTGAGTTCCTAACACTATCTCTAAGACTGAGTCCCGGCATCCTATGAAACACTGGTTATTTGTCTCTACAATCTCTTTTTTGATCACCTATAGATGACCGTTTGGAGAGGGTTGGATTGGGTGATTGTAGCAGCTTTATCCAATATTCTTACAGCACCACATGCCATATAGCCAAGAGACAAAGTACAGATAGACTGGATGGGCCAATTCCCTGTGTTGCATGGAGTGGCAAGACAAACCACATCTATTGTATTTGGTTTTTGGTACATATCTCACACCCACCCACAAAATACATAAAGAAACTTCCAAGGGAGCAAATCCTACATATCACAGAATAAACAGTTAACCCCACTATAGCCGAAAAGGTGAAGTTAATTACCTTGGTTCACAAACACTTTCCCCTCAGGAGCAGCACAACCCTGTGCTGCTGTAAGCTGATTGACATTAGAGAAATAATGTCAAACTCTTTGTCACCAAAGATCACATGGCCCAGACAGTTGTTTCATCTGCTTGTCCAGCTCCGTTTGTTCAGCTTTACAGTGAAGTCAACCGAATTACACAAATTTTTTTTTGTAAAGAGATATTAAATGAATAAAGTTTATTTGTTTTTTTTGTGTGTTTGTTTTTTACACACCCTTCGTAGAGGAAATAGATTCTCTTGCGAACTGTATTCCACAGCACTGACTACTTATGAAGTATATCTTTCCAACATGTAATTGTGTTGTCGGAAACTAGTAATAATTATTGATATTCTTGCAGAGTAGGCTGTCTAGTTATTTAGAAAGCCTTGAATTATTTTTTGGAGGAAGGCTAATGGAACGATTGAATTCTAAAAAGTATCACAGGACGAGTTTTTCTCTCTCCCCCTGACAAGACAATAAAAGATATTTGGCTGTAATTCAACAGAAAAATAAATAATAAGCCTGTGAAAACGTATTCATCTGCAAGTTATGTCAGAATCACAAGTCACAAATGCTTGCAGACAATATATAGGCTAAGCCTTTGTCTCTTCACAAGAATACAAATGTATTAAATGTACAATATATCAAACTGCTAAAAATCTAAATATGGTAGTAGCCTAAATCATATTAATTTCCCCTCAGTCTCTCTGACTGGACCAGCAAATCAATGGAGCAAAAGTTGTATTACCCATCCCTCATCTATAATGAGGTTGTTGTCTTGTGTGGATTTGTTTCATTCACTGTGTCAGGGTGTTGCCTCAGTGAGCAAGCTTGCTAGCTAGTAGCTAGCTAACTAGTTTATGAACTATGGACATAATAAAGCTTTTCACAAGGCGTAAACCTCAGTCGCCATCCACAGAAAGTGGCATCAGCAGCTACTGTAAAGCAGACAGGTGTTGTATCAGGTTTGTGAATCGGCAGCCATAACACTTGGTGAGGTGACTAGCCTAATTTATATTACTGGTAGGCTAGCTAACGTTGCCTATTGTTATTTAGCTAGTAACGTTAGAGATAAGCAGATGATACCAAAGGTCCGAAGCTTGTTTCACTCATTTGAAGCGCACTGTTTCAATCATAGATTGAATCAAAATGTACTCACCAGAAAATATGAACAGCAAACTCCTAATAAGCTTTTTCAATGGTGCTGGTTAAATTTACACAGTGCAGTGGGTAGAGTCACTCTAGCCTGATTGACAGGTTGCCATGGTAGTGACTTGTCAATCACAAGATAGTCCCGCCTTAAAGCATTCTCTGCTTTATAGTTTAGTTTCCTCTAAAGTGGACCATCATTTACTAAATGAACATCATGCTGTAGCAATTAACAGATTTATTAACAGACAAATTATTATTATGGTTATAAGTAGGGTCATTTTAACATTATTTCTAATTGAACCTGACTTCTTTTTGCAACCAGAGGAGTCGCCCCCTGCTGGCCATTAGAAATAATGCATGGTTAAGGAACTTCCACATTTGCCTCACTTTTCAGCCCCGGAGGTTCCCGCTTGGTTTCAATACATTGTGCAGGAGCTTGTGTCAAATGGTCAAATGAAGAATATCACCTGACTGATGACGTCTGAAGCTTCAAACGTCACAAGCTTTGCTTTAGAAAGCGCTTCATTCAGTTTGACAGTTTTAAAAGTTTTATCTAAACTTTATGATCAGCACTTTAGCATGATAATAAAAAAGGAGAATAATTGAGAAATATGGTGATATCCATTGGAATGACATAATCATAAGTATGAGGATGTTTCCCTCCTGATACCAAGTGATAATTAAGTAAAAGTAATAGGCTAATTTAATGAATTTAATCATTCTCTGATCACATCACATTGTGACTCATGAACTGTCACATAAATATCAACCATGACGTTTAAAAACATGAGCCCACTGTGGCACTTGGACTAAACTACACCATAAAGGTATATTCAGGATCATGTTGGCAAAAATATTTTATCTAGGGCTTTTTGCATAGTAACAGATATCTAATACAAAAGTGTAAAGGTTTAATAATAACGTGCACTCTTTTATAGCGTACAACAGCATATAACATATGAGACTAAAACTATTATCAGCGAGGTCATCCATCCATTCATCCATCGTCAACTGCTTATCCTGCATACATGGTCGCGGGGGCACATGGGGCAAAAGGTGGGGTACACCCTGGACAGGTTGCCAGTCCATCGCTGGGCCATACATAGACAAACAACCACTCACATTCACAAATAAGGACAATTTAGAGTCAATTATCAGCGAGGTTTGGTGGTTATTTCAGCCCAAGTCTTAAAGGGCAGCAATAAGATTTACAAGCCACCAGATGTCACTGTGTTTAGTAGCTGTTCTTTGTCTAATATTGAATATTGAAGACCACATTTACTTGGTACTGTTGGTATCCAGCAGCCCAGATTATTATGGCAAAAGATTAAGGTTAGACGTAAAGGTTTCAAGATTAGTTTACACCAAATTCCAACCCTACCTTTTTATGTAACTTAAAAGGAGTAACATTAGACAATTTTTGCCTCTTTTTAGGTGGCAGGAGTGAAAAGTATTCATCTTCAACATTAGTTGTGTTAAGGTTTCACGATGATGGAGACAGTTGGAGAAAATTAAAATACAAAATACGATGTATATTCTACAGGATGAGAAGATTTTTTTCCTGGGCAACAATCATGTTTTTCCCAAATAATAGAAAGACTTCTAGGCATTCTATTATCTTAAACATCCTTAAAAATAGTACATAACACTGCTGTAAATGGGCAAAAAAATCTCCCCAAGGTTTGGGCTAAACTCCAGATGTTTACAGAATCTTATGCTTATTTCATGCAACAACACGGTTAAAAAAAACATTTTTGTCCTCTGCTGGAGCAAAGTTCTGTTGTGTTCCTGGCTTTCATTGGATAATCCTCTGGTTGGTTTACATGATTTGACTTGTGTCCCAGAAATTCTTCTGTCCAGGTGTATCCTTGGATGAGAAGGCTTTATTTGTTTGCCTTGTTATTTCTTCTGCATCATGGTGTAGGTTCAGCGGTGCGATCCTGTGAATGATGGCATGCCCCCATTTTTAATGAACTGTTTATCTTGTGTCTGGCTGCTGGCAACGTTTGATGTTTGCTCATGAAAAGACAGAGAGAGAGGCAGAGCGACAACCCCTACTTGGGACATTTTGTTTTGTCTTATTGGAAATGCCTATGATTTCTGTACACTTTAAAAGAGTATTTCAAAATAAAAGGATAATTGAGCTCAAGTAATTTATAAGATTCTACTATATTTACTACTACTGCACTTAATCTGGGGGTATCCAGTTGTGTTTTAGTTTCTTTTGTGACCTCACCTGTAAATTAGTTAATCTCTCAATGTGATACAGTACTGATTAAGAGAAAATTGTTTTACTGATCATTGAGGAGAATTCAGGTCATTGCAGCAGCAATGCAGCAAACTGTAAGTTTTGCAATTGTTTTGTATTTAGTTTTTAGAGAAACACAATGGCCATAATAATAGTTTTTTATACTTAACCATTATTGGACAATAATACATATTTTTCTTCTAAAACTATCACTGTGTCTTCCATACATGTTCAGTCATATTTAGTCAGTATTTCCATCCTGAGATAAACCGATGAAGATATGTAGACACCGTGCCTCTTTACGTCCTTGTTCGTTTTTGTGAAATGCTAATGTATGCAGATTAAGGACCCATTAGCATCTTTGTCCCAAGCGATGTCTGCATGTACTGATTGTATTTCTGGGGCCAAAAAAATCATATAGACCAGCCAAATTTTCTTTCCTCATCCGGTAAATTGTTCCATTAGCCTTCCTCCGAAAAATAATTCTAGGCTTTCTAAATAAACAGACAGCCTACTCTGCAGCAATATCAATAATTATTACTAGTTTCCGACAACACAATTACATGTTGGAAAGATATGCTTCATAAGTACTCACTGCAGTGGAATACAGTTTGCAAGAGAA